AACAAGATAAAGTAATAAAATAATAATAATAAAATTGAACTTCCTACTTTCAAAAGCTTTAATAACGTTGTCGCTAATCTCCTACAAATAGGCTAACACAAATCATATTTTATTGAACCCGTAGAAAAATAATAGAAATAAAGTTTTCCTTATGTAATATCGAAGACCGCTACAATAAACTTAGGAAGGTATGGCGCAACTCGACAATATTCTATAGCTTCGCGCAAGTTGGGCACATAATATTTTATCCTGGAGAAATTTCCAAACAATAATCGCCTTGTGCTTTTACTTCCACTTAGAGGCTTCTATGGAGCTTTGTTATTTTTGTGTAGAAATATTTGTAACAATAATACCACTAAACAGTTATATAATATTATTTCACTTTAAACAATATTGAACGAGGCGGAGAAAACCCAATATGAACGCTTTATTATAACACTGTTTATTGCGCATAGAAACACTACTATTACAACAACACACACTGGCGTTGGCAAAATATAAGAATTATGCTGTCAAGTGTCCGTTCTTTCGGCAGACAGATTAATAAATCAGTTTGACAGTGCGTTATTATCAAATCATCAATAAGTTTTCGGACGTTTTCGGCGGACAGAGTAAGCCGCATAGAAAATGTCTTATAAAATATCTCCAAGAAAAATATCATATTACACCGAACTCGACACGCCAGTATGGCAAACACCGGCATTTGCTAAACATCAAGTGATTAAATGCAATGGTTGTAATTGAAATTCATGGAATTATATAATGGGGTTCCCCTCGCCGGTACTTATTAATGTTATTCCAATAAACGACATTTTATCAATCGTCCGTTAAAATAATTCAAACTCTGCGGTTAACGTTAATCTTTAGTCAAACCAAAAATTTGATTTTATGATCTCTCAGTTAGGTTAGGTTAGCTTTTTACCGAATTAAAGTGATGAGGAATATTATATGTTTGTATAAAAAAAAATTGAATCAACGGGTTCTCTGTGGGTTTATATAATTGTAAGTAGGTACCAATTTAATTACAATACTAATATCTACCCTATTGTATTACCCATTAGTAATGATCGCGACTAGATGTAAAATGTATTTATATTTAATTCCACATTACTGATATAATTATTAGCAGTAGTAGTGGAGAAGAGGTTGAGTTTTACTTTATTGTTATTCCCAACAAGAATTGACCACCTAAATGAATGGAGCGGCCAAGATTTTCACCGTTTAAGACATTTACTGGTTACGGTATAGTTCACTATCAATAAAATGGCAAGTTAAGGTAAGTATAAATAAAAATGATATAAAGAAATATCAGCTATATTATATTGTATAACTTTATAACAATAAACGTTACAATTTTTGAAACTATAAAAATCAATTTTATAATAAATTTCAAAAAACAATCATGGATTAAAACGATAAACGTTAACAGATACCAATATGAAGTTAACGAACTTTTTATGTTACCGTCGTAACTTCTTTCAATTAAGGACCTTAGTTATAAATAAAACTTCCGCTTGTAAAAACTTAGTTTATATTAATCTCGGATTAAATTTGATTGATAAAATCGACGTTGTGCTAATTGAAAAAAATCACACGCAGTTATCATATAAAATCTAGCCCCAAATTATTTCGCTTAGACTTTTTGTTTTGTTTTCTTATGTTGTCATTAGCTAAAAATACTTGCTCGAGGTATTTTACGTGACGTAAGTTTAGTAGAGTGTTTGAAACTGATTAAAAATTATTAATTGGATTTACTGAAGTTTTAATTTGTACTTAAAATTTAGAAGTTTTCTTGAACGTTTAAGATTTTTTTGCCGTCCCGATAGTTGTTTATGTGAGTAGTAAAACTTTAACGTACAAATACCGAATAAGTAGTTCGGTTTAAAACACCAACAGCTAAGAGAGAAATACAAAATATACTTAAATGGGTAGAACCTAACCTAATCTTATATTATTTTCTAGTTTAATTCGTACTTCAGGCGTGGGTATGCTTGAAATTGGAAACACGAAAAAAAAAACATATTTACATATCCGTTTTCTATTAGTGTACTGTAAGCATTGAATTTGCAAATACTTCATGAATCAAACATGTGACAACGGCAATAGTGTCGAAAATGAATGACGGTCTTTACATAGGACAGTTTTCTTTGTACACAGCAGCGTGATTCCTGTGGCCGAGCACAAAGTGTTTCTTGTGTAAGAGCTCTTGCACATAAAAGCAAGATACTGTGTACTATGTACACTCATAAATAATAATAACTATATTATATTCCCTTCGACGTGGAGCCGAACAACTATTGGTCTCTCGACGAGGTGTTTTTTTTTTCTTTTTAGCTTTTTTTAGAAAGGTTGATTTTTTTTTTTCGTTACCTACAGACTCTATCAAGGGGCATAGCCGTCGATCGATACCTACATTAACAATTGGCCCCCACCATAGAGTAGCAGCGAAATCATTAAAAAAATATATAATATAATATAATATTTGTTTTAATGTAATTAATCAAACAAGTATACATCAATCGATTTTAAAATTGATTAATCACAATATATTTTTTTGCTAAAAAACGATTTATTGTGGCTATAAACGTCATGATATTATATTTTGTGCGATTAAAATTAATCTGAGTACAACAATATTATGCTAATGAGTTTCCGGTAAGTAAATTATCAACTTTAAAATATCATAACTTACGCAAACAAGTTTGGAGAAAATCACAAACTTACTACTGGAGTTCAGTACTTCCGTTACGGAATTATTAACATGACATGTTTTGTTATTAAGTTTGCAAGACTATTTTCCACTCTCCTATCTACCCGCTAAATGTATTGTCGACCATTTAAATATTATAGTGTAGGCTTATGTTGATAATTAAATGCTACCATCATGGTCGACATATCATAGCCAATAATATTATAACGTCCATGGGTTTCAAGTTATAGTAAACATTTCTTCCTGATACAAGCTGTTGCTATTAGCATTTAATATTTATCGCAAGACTTACCGTCGGGAAATCCAATATTAAACTTTCTACGAGGCCGATCAACTTAGGACTATTTGCCATGAGAGTATTGGTCACTGGATGTAGTTTCAATAAAGTTCTGGACTTACAGTGAAAAGGTATGTTGTGACTAAACTATTTGCTTTACAACGTTATTACAAATAGATATTTATGAAATACTATATTAGTACAGACTTCGAATTAAACAAAAAATGGTATTACAAATTCGAATTGTACCTAATTAAATCTATTAAAAATGTACAACGAATAAAAAAAGTCTAATGAAATATGTTATTCTATACCGATTGTTAATATAAAAACACAATCACCCATATTATATAATATGTTCATATGTTTGTCATCTATAAATTACTCTAAACTTATAAAAAAAATAATCTCATTGATGAAGTTCTAATATTCTATTGGACTCCGACCAATTATACATTTCTGATTTGGTAAAAATAAACAAAAAAGAAACATATTTTTATAAACAAATATATATCTTAGAAGACATTCAATTATGTAAATTCCGGTTAAAATGTATAGCGGCAAATTGTATTATTTTTTTTGCAACGTAAACGGGTTCTTAGATCTAGTGGAATTTGATATTGTATAATAATGATGCCTATATAATACTTGGTAAATAGCCTTACATAACATTGCACCTTAATAATAGTATAGTAATTATGTGCTGATTGACAATGTGAACCGATTCGGACGTGACACGGGTTATTCATCTACTCAAGTAAAGAATTAGTGTTAAACAAAAAAACACTATAATGGCGTGACTACGCCCTCTGATGATTTAAATAAAAAAATATACAAAAAGGATCCTTATAGTATACAAAAATTCTTATTTTTCGGTCCGCTACTTCCGGAAAAACAACCCAACGGGTACGATGGACTACTGTTAAACCTAATTAATGTATTGTACAACAATTTTATTAAATAAATCTCTTTTTTTACATTTATTTTGTTTATATTAATTATCAAAAACGTAATAGGGCAATTATTATAAAACCGTTTATGCATTTCTCGCTTAAATGTATTTTTGCGCCTTAAATACAACTAGATGAATTATACTAATTTGTCTTAACTAGTTTTTTTCACTATGGATTTAATTAATGCAATTTATTTTCATCTCTTATGAAAAAAACATATTTTAAAAAGATTAAGGAGATTGAAAGCGGCGGTTTTAAAAGAGTTTTATTTAAAAAAAAAGTTGGTTTAGACGAAGAGAGAATATTGTGGGTAAATGCAAATAACATTACAGTCTACCTTGTATTCAGCTTTTATCTTTAGACGCTAATAGCATAAAAAGGTATTTAAGTACATAGTAATTTGATTTCTTAAAAGTTACCCTTTAAAACTACACATTAAGAAAATATTTTTGCCTGAACAATTTTTCGTTTATAAAATTTCATAAACATGGAACTTAGATAATATTTGAAGGTACAAATAAACAAATGAACAATGCAATATTTTATTAGAAATAATATTAATCGGGCGATTTTAAAGAAGTTTAGTGTACCAATGCAATATTTATTTTTTGTAAATGAGATTTAATCAATTTCAATCATCCGAACTCCGAGTTATTATTCTCATGATAATTTGTAAAAGCTTGAAGGTATAATTTTTAACGTATACAATTTTTTGTCATTTTTGTAGTTAAAGATTTCTTATTCTTCAGTGAAAAATTCTACGGTTTAATGTTACAATTTCAACTCTGAAAAAGATACGAATTTGTTGGCTGTCTTACACATAGTACATGTTAGAAAGGAAATTTCATGAAAAAAATTAAATTAAATTAAAAAAAATAATTAGCAACCTGGTAATAAGTAGCTATAACGAACCATCCCGAGTAGTAAATATACTCAGTCGGCCTTCTAACTGTATACAAAACATTTATCAATGATGTTTAAAAATTGATATTTTTACCTGTTATACCTGAGTTTTGGCTCGTGTAAAAAAAAAAAAAAAAATAATAATAATTAAAATCACCAAATCTTCCACAATCGAATATGGTCAGACTATAGTTGGTAAAATCGTACAAACGACGGCGGCCACGAACGCCGGCACAAACGGTAAGACGTGTCGAAACCGAACGACGGAAAACTGGGAAAAAAATATTTCCCCAAAGGAAATGAATAAGACACACGCGCGCAAACAGACGTCGAACAAGCGACCGACAGTGAAACGGCCGAACCGAATTTCTAGTAACCGTAACGGAGTCCGAACCACAACTGATTATGTCAGCAGCTCCGACTACTAGCGATTCTCTTCGCAGCCCCTCCGCCGCGAGGGCGAGTTTAACCCTCGCCGGGCCAGGGGTGCAACATCAGTCGCGTACGACCATGCTTTCCGGCTTTTTACCGGCCCCGGAGGGTAATTTGATTTTTGTCGCTTTTACCCACAACATGTGGATCACGACGTCTTGGACAGCCAATTGTTTTATTGGACTCGGATTTCGATTAATATCCTTCCCGGACACACACACACACGAGAGACCTCTAAAACAGTGTAGTGTTATTCGGTCGTTTCGGCCATCCGGATCCGGCAAATAGCAGTGGCGCACATAAAGACGGCAGCCGTCTAAATATAGCTGCGGTTTTTCCAAAGGCATTCTCCTCCGCGGCAATATCCCACGGCGGATGCCAAATATTTCTCCAACTCAATGGAGGGTCTGGCGCAATGGCCATTCTACATCCGTTTACAGTTTTGGTGCTACTTACAGCCAGGTCGGACTCCAACAAAAGCAAGTAAATTCCTACACACGGACATAGTGTCGACACCTACGCAGAATTTCCATAGTATATTTACCAATGTTGTGATATTATCTAAACCTAATTAAATTAATGTTAACTTTGAAAAAAACTATTTATTTCCTAAGTACATGTTTGGGAAAATAGGCAAAGTGTTGAATTTATTATAACAACGCAGACGTATTAAAGGTGTAATTATTTAAGCTGTTTTTGACATGAGTAGTTTATTGAAGAAAGGTAATAAGTCACGGTTTAAACGAAAACTATTTTTTAGTTTTTTTTTTGTCTTTATTATATTATATTTACATCTGTACAAAATATATGCACAACAATCAATGGGTAAACAGTAAAAAAGAAAATTAATAATATAGTTTGAATAACATGCAGTAGGGGGGCACCCAATGGAGCTACCTACTTTGAATTTTGAGTTAGTTTTTAGAGTAAAACATTTTTTAGACTGAGACGAACAAGTTATTGTACGTCCCAGTGGTAAAGTTCAACGCCTATAAAATTTGCTTTCGAAAATCTCGTTTAGTTATGAAAGGGAATAAGTTCAATATAATAATTATGTTGGATACAATTAAGTGGCTATACATAGATTACATTTTAATTTTAACAAACAATTATGAAATATTATGAGTGTGTTTTAGCTTCTGTGGATTAAAATTTTATGTGGATAATTTTCGGATGTCTTCAGATTTATATCAATCTTCGAGAATTGAGCCGATGAACCCAATGCGAACGTTAACGACCTTATTATATTATATTAGTCATCTAGTCCAAAGGCAAGACAAACAACAGGGTTCAATTTTTTTAGTAGTTAATAAGCGATTTTACTGTTAAATTTTTTGCTGAATACAGATTCCAACGGCTGAATAATATTGTGTTGTGCTTCTATACCAACGTGTGATTTATTAATAATGGTGGTTATTTTTTATTATTATCATTTATCAGTGTAGCTTATTAACCTCTTGAAAAACGACTCGTAAGAATGGCAATAAAAATAGTTAATGTGATCTCCGGTATTAAGCTAGGTAAACATAGTGACGAAGAAAAGCATTATCGCTTAAGGCCATTATTCAGCAGCTTGGAAGAGCAATTTATAACCGGAATTCAGAAACAACAAAAAGGGTTCTGCTAAACAACCTGGTCGTTTTATAGCGCAGCAGCGTTACTATGACTGAAAAAAAAAATGTCTATTACGCCACCTTATAAATATAATATAAAGTTCATTAAATTAACAACGAATAAACTTGAGGTTAAAGTAATGAAAAGCCCAAAATGCAGTTTGTGAAAACTTTACACTAATGTAATATTCCAAAGACCTTATAGTAGCTATCTGTCTGCATAATATTACTATGCTTCAGAAAAACAGAATTTCGGTTCAAAAATATTAAACACAGAAGAAAATAATTATAGTTAAATAAATAATTGTTGCCATCCGGGCACTCTTCCGGTGCCCTACTTATTATTCAAATAATTTATATGCAAATAACGAAATACCTTAGTATACATCTTAGACGAACCGAGTATAGTGCGCCCCGCTTTTCCTCCATGGGCGACGGCTAATATCCGATTTAACTGGATAATATTTATTTATATTTTTTTTTTTAAAGAAAAATTCTAAGTCATTTTATTATTTCAAAAGCAGTGCAACATAAAATAACCATTACGCGAAGTACCGATAAAACGCATCTCACAAAACATAACTCGTCGTTTTATCTAAGAACTTAAAAATAAGTATGTACACAACGTGACTTTATTGATATTTAAGCGAAATCTGATAATTTTAGTACAGCAAACACAAATGTATAAGTTAAACTATTTAAATGGCTTTTGATTCAATTATTTTTTAAGTACATTAATTTTTACCGTTTCTAGTTGTTATTCTCATGTTAATTCGCAACAACTTCAGGGTGTGGTTTTTAACGATAACAATTATTATTTTTCGCTAAGAGTAAAACCAAGTTGGTGGTAAAAAATGAATTTGGGCGTTCCTATTATTTCAATTAGGTATGTAAAAATATAAAAACATTTTGACCCCTTTACGGTATAGACTTCGCCGAGTGGTCGAGATTTCGGCAGGCTCTTCGGTGGAAATATTCATGTCTAGATTATTGTTATAAGAAAGCTGTCGACGTCAGAGTTTAAACGACTTTCAATTCATCCGACTGCCTTTGACAGTACTCGTCGAGTGAAGTCCAAACTACTGAAAGTCTTAATCGAAACATAATCGACTCTACCGATGATATCCCACGGTGACTTTGGTGTAAACTCTTGGCCAACTTTGAAAATACATTGTATTAATATGAATTGTAACTGCACTTATTATTATTATTGTTATAGGCACGGACCACCGGCGCTAAGACGATTCATTTGCGGAGACGTCTGCAGTGGACGCAATCGAATCGCCAACAGCTTAATGGAACAGATAGACCTGTCACGCCGCCAACAACAGCCCATTGGTCCCCCGCCGTGGCGAAGAGTGACGACCGAAAACCCTGGGATGTTATAAGAAAAAAAAAATAAATAAATAAAAAACCGAGCACGTAGACTATTGACAATATGTTGTATAGAGAGAGGATGACGGACGTCGTGTGGTCATCATTATAAGAAAAAAAAAACACACACACACACAGTTTTCTAGTAGACTTGGCCCGGCCAACTGCTTCGTAGGACATCTAAAAAAAAATAAATCTCACTTCCGTTTTGGTCACGGTTACTTCTCGCCGTATAGGATAGAGCCCGTGCTTTTAGCGACCCTCCATCCACCCCTTTGACGGGGTAGACTTGGTGTTTTATACAGGGTGATCCATCTGATGTAGGTACGCGACACTAGTTTTCTGGGAAAATACGAGTCTTTAAACATCATGGGCTACTGGATTTTAGGAAACCCAAGACATATGACAACTATAGGGGGAAATGTATTATCTTTGCAAAGTCATAGTAAACGATCAGAAAGGTGAAAATTACAAATTTAAACGCTAATATTTTTTTAAATTATTTTGTTCAAAGTATTAAAAAATATAGTAAAATGTGTATCAACAAGTATAGAAAAAAAAATCATTTTCAAAATATTGATTCTGATACAATATAATAGAATAAATAAATTCATTGTTAAACGAACACCCTCGCCGTTCCACGACGAAGCCCCAGCAAAAGTCTGAATTTTAGTGTAAGAAACTTCAAAATATGACAAACTTAAGTTTATGGGATGATTTCGTATTTGATATAAGCTTTTAATTTTACAGAGTCAAAAAAAACACTTAAAAACATGAAATTGTACAAATACCATATAAGTACAATTTAAATAGGTGTCCATAAAAATATTGATCCGTCAATTTTGGCAAAGTTATAGCGTTTTAACAAGCTATAAGACCGGGTTTTCCCCATCTTCATTATGTACCTTTCTTATGACTCACTTTCAACTCCTCCGTAAAGGAGCTGAAAATGTGTGTTATTTAGGTCCGAGGCTCTTGTCGAACAGAGGCGACCCAAATAAATTATATTACTCCTTAACAAGTTCAATTATTTATCTCAAGACAAATTCGAAAATTGAAAACCATATTAGGTATTTTTCGGGGGGAGGTTTTCCAGATTTTAATACTGAAGGAGTGAAGTTTTTTACATTACACATACACAAACAGCATACACCATTGTAAAGCCAATACCAATACCATTTATTTTGTAGGCTGCGGCCATTGGTTTTGCGTTTATTATTCTGTCGCCTAAAATAACAACCGTGAACGCGAAAATCCTTAGATGAACACTCTTTATCGTATACCGATTGGGAAAGCCCCGAGCGATGTGTGTACTTTAGCCACAACTATAACAGTTGTGAGCCTTCAGAAAAAAAGACAAAAAACTTCTTAAGTTTTACAGCTGTCAATGAGTATAATATTATCACATTGAAATAAAACTATTTAAAACTAAAACTAGAACATAATACATTTAAATGGAGCAATACTTCAGTTAGGTTGCTGCTAAATACTAATACTAATGCTCAACCCTTAATAATTTAAAACATTAAATGGGTGTGGTGTCTAGCCACGAATAATTTTTTATATATTTACTTTGCATTTTTTTTTTTGATAAAAAATAAAATAAACAATGATAAAGTGAAACTAGAAAACAGTACTAAAGTAAATAAGTAATAACAAGTAATGTGTGTGTGGATTTTAATAGCACGTTGTTAAGTACAGCCCACGAGACAACCCCACTAGTCACATTCCTGGAATTTTAATTACTAACCTGACATCATGAAAACAATATTATAATTTAAATTGATTCAATACAAATTCCACGCCAATTTACTAAATGCATAAATTAAGTTTTATTGCTTATACACATTACGCCGCGATCAAGTTGTCATTACTTGTATCCGTTACGAATTTTTTTTTAAAAAACCTAAACTCTTTATTCAAACAATTTTACAATGAATTTCAAACTCGTGGCATTACAGCACTTATTGATAGAAGTGAAAAGGAATAATAAACAAATTGTTTGAATGAATAATATGATGAAAGGAGGAGGTGAGGTTACTTGACAGTTTATCTTGACGTCTTATCGTTCTGATGAAAACAGTATTTTCATTTAATTTTGTACAAAACTACATAATAACAAAACGGTTTTAAAAATTAAAAAAAAAAATGTTTTTCTTTTGGATAACTTGACTACGGACAACCACTTGAACGTGAGAGACGTTAAACAATATTATAGTATCACAACAGTTTGAACCTTGAATACATGTTTTTTAATTAAATTATTTTTTTTTTAATTAGTTTACATTTTAGGTGAGCATTAAACATCGTCTTTGGTCGCACTGTTTTTCCACGTTTTGATAAAAGGCGAATCTGCCGTGGGACACAGAAATCGGTCGAAAAGATTTGTCCAATTTGTAGATTTATGCCCAACGGGCTCCATCATGTTATTCCAAAGTGCATTGGCAACTATAAATAAATAGAAAAACATTTAGATGGTTACATTGACATAATAGTTTTATGAATAATAAAATTAAAGAAAATAAAACCATACTGTGAGTATTTTTTTATCGAATCGAGAAAACCTCAATACTTTTAAAATTATAAAAATAGTTACAATTTAGTAAAAGAAATCAAACGCATTCACGTACATGTTGCATAACCTTTTTGGCTGAAATGAAAACAGTCAGCTGCGAAGAACGTTAAATCCGTTTTATTAAGTCGATTTAAAGGAAACGATAAATGTTCGGCAAACGGCTGTATAATGACTGTGAAATCATCTTGGGTTTTGAACTCTTCCATTTCCACCTAATAGTCACATAAGTAGATAAATTACTATAAATACATTCGAAATATCTTAAGTAAAACAAATCATTCAAAGAATTTTGATGTTTATTGAATTTTATAGATTAATATTAAAAATACAAATTAACTTTGTACAAAAGTCGTATAAAAAAAATCTTACTATATTTTTTTCAAATTTATGAAAGTCAAGCAGTGTTTTCATCATTTGTGGTATTTGTTGCTTGAACTGAGTGCAAAAAACGCAAGGGCATACAAGAATGTTATTTATTTTGCAAACTTCTGGCCTACCGGACATACTCATTAAAATTTGCACATCTAATAACACAACAACAAAATAGATGAATTAATTTAATTAGTAGGTCTTCAATATGAACTACTGTAACAAATTAAAAAAAATCATTTTTAATTATATCAGAAGTAATACAATATTACACCATTATTTTAATTTTTAACATATTAGCTTCGATGCGGACCTAAGAGGCTATTTGTTTTAATTATAATATTATGTATAGTATAAAATGTAATATTTGCGACCCAATAGCTGCGGGTAGGTATAATACAAAACAAAAATGAAATAAATTATTTATAAAATTAAAGTGATGTAATTTTTATGAAAGTTTAACGCTTACTAAAATCCAAAACAAAATTGACTATGGTTCTGGGAAGATTATTTTTTATGTAAGACAATGCGCGGTGAAGCTTTTCATAGTATAGTTGTGTTAGCTTGTTGTGGTCTTCGTAACATATTTGTGTACAGAATGTGTTTGCGCCGATCCATATTGTTATTAACTGTTAAAAACAAACAAAAAATGATTATCTAATATTAATTCATCGATGAGTTAATGACGTCATTACCTTCCAGTGTTCGTTTAGTTTAACTCGTTTATCGTTTTTTATTCTTTTCACCAACTCTCGTGTCATATAAAATATATCTTGACTGACAGCTGCGCCTTCGGCGACGTTGAATTGCGATGCCCGTTGTTCGGCTAACGAGGCACCGTATGAATAACCAAACAAGTCAGGATTAAAAACTTTGATAATATTCGGCAGTGTTAAATATTCCCTCCACGTACCCTCTCCTCCTGGAAGAGTTTAATTATTTTTCTATTATTTTACATAATCAACACATCCAGACTTTTGTAGTGTTGACGAGATTTTTTTTAATAAATAATGTAATATGGTTATGATAACATTTTCAATACTGAATATGTACCAACAAATTACACAATTTTATGATAGTATTATATCACTTGCCTTGAAAAAATTAACTTCAATTTCAGAAACAACAAATTTATTATTATAGATAATAGAAATAATTTCCACCTTTGAGTTGTTAAATAATATATTATATATTTATATATATATATATGTCTTAAATTGTTTGTCTTAAAATATATTTCATATTATATATTAGTTTTCTATTTAAAACACAGCTGGGAAATATACGTCGTACAGTGTGCAGCAAACAAGATAATTAGTATTTTAAAGCAATATAGTTATTTTATAAAAGATCTTAAACGGGTTTTTTTTGGGGGAATTTTCCCAACACTCCAAAAAGTGTTAGAAATAAAATACATTTAACTGAATGCAATTTAAAAAAAAAGTTCTCACACGTCCTGTCTCGTTTTGCACATTACACAATTAATTCACACATAAGTTTATTTAAAACCTTTTTATTATCCTAAGTTTAATTGTTCGTCGTGTGCCATAAATTAGCAATTTAATCAACTACATTACCGCCGGACCAAGATAACCCTCGTTCTTCGATCAGCACTTCAGGTAGGTTACGCGATAAGGTTCCATAACCCGCCGTCAACGAGTCGCCAATGCTACCTATAATGTCTATGTCTCCAGGCCTTATTTGGTGCACACTAGTCGGTGTCGTCATAGATCTAGTTCCGTTCGTTTTACACGGGAATTCAATAGCCTCCGGTACGGCTTTTTGGGTTTTCTAAAACACGTGGTACGACAAAAAACGCAGGAAAATGATCACTTGGATTTATTTATGAGGTATTTTTTTTTCTTGTTAGCACTGACATTGTTCGTCCTAGCCCATTCGATGCGACTCGGTGATCTTAATAGAGCTTGAACGGTTCGTCTCAACGGATAATAGTGTTTATCTTGAAACGCCAATGCAATTTGGGGGATGCCCGATAGGTCTTCATCGGCATATCGATTGAGCCATGCCTGTGAAATAATGCTCTGCCCTAACAAAGCCGTAATAAGTGACAAGCACAAAAGAACCATGTACATCCTGACAGCCGTTTCTTTCTGTAATTGCCAGTTGAGCCGCCTGGGAACATTGAAAACATGTTGTGTGTATTGAATATTACAGCCGGTCAGCAACCAACCTAGGTATTAAAATCAATAGCTAAAATTTAGTAGATTTTTAGATAATTTTATTATAGTTATAATTATAATTTTATTTTAGTTTATTTTAGATAATTTCTTTTAGTTTTACTAAAGCATTAAGCTTAAGACTTAAGGGATTTGGAATGTGCGTTAATAAAAACAAATAATACCATAAGACTTTCTCTAATCATAAACTTGAATCTTAAGTGATTTCAAAAGTCAAAACCCAAAACGTTGTTGTTGGCCGCTCAAAATTGCAGCAAATTTGTCTTAATCTAAAATGTTAATTGCACATTAAAGTAGATACTCACTCACATAAACCAACTTGGTCACCACCGCCAAATTAAATTGACATTTTGTTGGGGGGTTTTTTCTTAATAAAAAAAAGAAGTTTGTGAACACCAATATGACTATTTTTGAAAAACTCATAGTGCTCCGTAAGTTTAAGTTATGTGATTTGTGTCAATTTGAATGTCATGGAAATGTGTCGTTTTTGCGGTATTTTTTGCTCGGTTATGAAAGGAAAAGAGTGAAGATTTTAAAAAGTTTTGGTCCAATAAGTAACCTTCAGTACGATTTCTTGTCTATAAATATGCTACAACTCGACGGGACATACTTTTCATTGTTTTAATTAATTAAGTAAATTTCCAAGATAAAACTGACAACAGAGTTTTAATCACATACATATTATTTAAATGAGTGATATTTAAGTACAAAAACACAGGCATTGCAAACGGCACGCGTGGGAGTATTATACTGTATTTTTTTTAAACTAAATAGGAATTTTTTACACAAGTATTTACACAACTAATTACTCAAAAAATTATTAAAGTATTTTTAAAGATAATATTTTAATATATCACAGTAAAAAAAAACGATTTTAGTGAACGTAATCGTTAAATGTATGCTTTAAGAAAAATCGTTCACTACCGCACGTGTAATATTTGATTAGGTCAAGTTTAAAAGAAAAAAGAATAATTATTTACCTTTCAACAATAAACACTATAAACTGATGTAAGAAAACCAATCCAGGTGTGTTCCGCTTAGAGAAGTGTACAGCGATGGTATATCGTGTGTAAGCCCATTACCAACATCACCTCTATAAATATTAAATTACTTTTTAAATTCTTTATGTGAATTTATAATGCAAAATAACAATACAATACAATTCAAAGTTAACTTCTGATGCCGCAACCAGTAGACCTTGAATTAAATTTTACGTACGAATTTAATATTCTCATGATTCTACTGATATCCAATATTTCTTCTATTATTCTTACAGACAATACTAATCGTCGGGTAAAACGAAAATAGTCACACGACCTTTCTAATAACAAAACTTATATATACATTTTTTTTATAGTATACATTAGGTTACATTTATAAATATAAAATCAAGTTAAAGTAGTGTCACGGGTCACCCCCTACCGCCCTGGTCGTCCTGTCACTATATTTTAAATGCCACCAATATGTTTTATTGTATTTCATTACTACAATTTGCAGATTATTTATTTTTCATTAAAAAAATCCTTAAAAGTAATTACTCAAAACTAGTTTTTGACCAGTCATAACTTTCATTAAATTATTTTTATTTTGAAAATTTTAAATCAGCATATGGTATGGGGTTGTATTGTCGAAAAACATATAAAATTTTGGCTGTATTTAACTATAAAATTCTAAAAAGAGACAATTTCGGAAAAGTCCAATATCTATTAGGATATTGACTGGGTCATAGTTGCTCATATACCTTGTATTTTATCGCAGTGGGTGTTTCGGTGTTACTTGAATTAAACTAAATTAATGGTATAGCATAGCCGATTAATAAGACAAACCAAGAAAGATCTTCACTAGGCAGTCCATGAGATTGATGTTGTTTGTACAAAAAAAAACTTAAGTCGAGACAAAAGAAAAAGCTGCTAAGTACAAGCTTGCGTTATTGTGAAAAATACACATTTCTCGGTCGGCTTTCGCTCATGATTCGGGTAAAAATTTATGGGGAAATATTATGCTACGTGAAAAAATCCAATTTTCTCTTATTTCGTTAAAATTACCGGTATGGCGATAAATAACGCGCTCCAAGTTTTTTACTTCACCTTAAAATGTGTCATAGTGTAAACATGTTGACAATTTTCTGATAAATTTTGTTTATTGTCCCGTGTATACGCTTAAAAGCGTAGGTACGGCACTAAAAAAAAATAAATAAAAAGCTAGCAACAAAGAAATAGAAACTTTTCACAAGCACGACCAATTTGGCCCATCGTTTAATAATTTTTTTTATGACTTTAAGTTTCTCTATAGTTTTTATGAAATACAATAATTGGTTCAAGCCTATAAAATATATACAACCAGGTACCAACACCATTTTACAAATATTATGCGATACCAAAAACGTTATACCGAAAATTTTATTAAGAAAGACAGTTTATTAGTTTTTAATTCGTTTCTGTATCACATTTGAACCAGTAAAAACCTTGGAATATTGTAACAAAAAAAAAAAAAAAGTGCCTTTCTTTGAAAAATATAATTACATTTTTCGTAACATTATCATGGCTATTGTCGTCGGCGGTCGAGACCTTGAATATAATTAGGTATTTTAACCTTATAGGTATTTTTACCTTGACGTTTGAAACTAAATAAAAAATAGTCAAATTAGTGGGAAATTTGTATGGAATATTCGCTAGATTAAGGACCATCGATAAAAGTGAACAACCCAAAGACTATCATAAACCCTTATCCCTAGAAGAGGTGGAAACATTGTATATACTGCCTTTTTAGATATAGTTTTAGTACTTAAGCCCTGAAATTTTAACGAAAGTAGATCAAGAGTAGGGATATAACATCTACAAATGTTCAACCTATGTTCTAAAACTTAGTTTTTATTAAGAAAATCCAAAAAAAAAGGGGGGGGGGGCGATCACACTTCTCTAACTAATAATTGTATCCACCATAATACTAATTGTACAATTTTAAGCGCAATATTGGCATTACAACGCTTAAACAATAAATCAATTTTAAACGGTTCCGTTAGCTGCAATGTTTTCAGATAAGTTACCGCGAGTTCGTTTTTGGTCGTTAAATAAGAAACGGTGGGTACGTCTTATAAAGAAGATAAACACTTAATTATTATAAAATAAATTTGAAAATCGAACTCACGTATCCAGACAGTTAAGTTTAATGTACGTTTAAAGTTTTCAATTCAGCGGTGCTCCTCGAATTTAGTATAGAGATTCTGCGGTGTTTAGTGTTTTAGTACTCCATTGGGAGTGAAACGATTCCGACGGTACTCTACCTACTTATACTAACTTTGTTCTGTCCACCATAACTTACCGTTAAATTGGTAATCTTATTACTTTTAATAAATTACACGTCTTTACATTTAATGTGCGCATATTCAAAGCCATATGCGCATTTTATTACGGCTTGTTCAGCGGTTTGCCAAGTGCCAGCAATTATTCTGTTTCAAAAAACAATCGACTTAGTTGCATATTTGTATAAAATATATTTTAGACATAGCAATATCAAGGTCTATCTAACTACGGGTAGACCTAAAGATGAGCTACAACGTATACGGTTTTCTCAAAAAAAAGAAAACAAACTTTTTTTTTTATCAAGTAAAACTTTCAAAAAAAAAAAAACCCAGTATAGTTATGTCAGAGTAAGTGTTGGAAGTTAGATAAGACCTACTCATCTTTTTGTCGTCTATAGATTAATTTTGTAGAATTTACCTAACCGGTCAGGTCAAGTTATCTTCATCAATATCTAGATCATTGTTTTGGAAATCACAGGCGTAGAAAATTAAATGTAACTGAAAGTGTTAAAAACCACTTTGAGGTGAATCTGTAAAAATTAAAAATATCAATTAGAGTATTGTATTGACAATAATGTGCTTAATAGATAAAGCTTTGTGCTAAAAAAGTCTACAAAAAAAATTCACTTTAAATGATATAAATGTATTTTTTCGAGCCTACTAATGACTAATGTTTATATATTTTATTATTATTATTTTTTTTTTTTTGTATTAATTTGCGTCACAACTTCGTGAGTCGAGTTACAGTTGTTGGTGGATTCAAATATCTGAAAACATAATATTAGGCGGGTGAAAATTTTAAATTTGAATTCCACGCGACTGTGCACAAAACAATGCTCTCTAAAAGCATGAACGTGGGATCAGTTTTTTTTCCTGTAATAGTATTTTTAATAAAACCAATGCTAATAAAAGTAATAACAATATAAAGGAACTTTTTTATTTCAACTTTAGATATTGGAATAAACGAATAAACGAGAAACCTTATAAATATGAAAATTAATGAAACTTTAATATTTGTGTTTTTATACATATTTTTTAGTAGACTACTTGCGAAATAAAATACAATTGAAACTAGAATATGCTTTATTAATTTTTATATTACACTATTTTACGCTAACAACAATACTACACAATAAGAAAAAAAAACAAGAAGTTTATTATTATTAGGGTAATTGTTTTTGAACTGTTTTAATTACACAAATATTTTTAAAAACGGTGTTTGGGTGGTATTACGGCAAATGATGTATATAATTTTTGTAAACGGCATTGTTTAAATAAGAAAAAATAAATAATATGTATTATTATACATTTTTATAATTAAAGTCGCATTGCCTACACATGAGGTTATTAGAGCATATGTGGTGATATATTGCCTATATATTTCGCCGTGAAACAAAATCTATATTATTAGGTAGGTACCTAATGGAATTGATTAATGTATTTTTTTTTTCTTTTTTAATAACGTCATTGAAAGGAAAAAACAGAACTACAAATAAAATCAAGTTTGAATCACTCAAGACGGAGCACAAAAGAATATAAACATAATAGAAACTATTTCACTTTTAATTATATCCTTAAGGGCTTAACTGAGAGAAAGTAGAAAAGTCCATATTTGTCCGTTAGAGAGTAAAAAAAATAGCGTTTACCACAAAAAAAAATATATACTGTTTCTTTAAAAGTACTACTCGCTTCATCAGCACTCACAACAAACTGGGCTGAAAAATAGTATCCTTTTTTTTATGGTAAAGGATATTTTTATTTTAATATTTTGTTGCTCGACTCTAAAGGGCAATCAACATTTTTAGCCTTATTAATATAGAATTTAAATTGAAACGCACGGGTAGTAATAATAATTATTTGCCACCATCGTATAAAAAAAAAACAGTGTCTTTCTATAAGAAATGATTGGCTAAAATTACAAGATGATAATGTATATTATTTTGTATTATTTATTAATATTTGCCCTGACGTCATATCTTGCAAAAAAAAAAGTACATTGCTTGTCTTGACTAAAATTGCAGTCTACAATGTGTACTCGACTGTAAATGATACCAGTATTTCTAGTTCTGATGTTTCAGTATGAAGAGTACTAAACAAGATGACTAAACTCAATGAATTATTATTAATAAAAAGAAAAACCAGTATAAGTGTGTGCATTTTTATTTTATTGAATAAAGAAGAACCATTTTACAAAAACATGATAACGCTAATGCATAGTTCAACAGATAAGTTGAACTTAATGAAAATATTAAAAAAAAACAGTTTATTAATTTTTTTATCAAAATAAATTCAGAAAAAACAAACAAAATTTATAATTAGACAGAGACAATACAATAATTAATATGAAATATTTAAAACGAGTTTCACAATTTTTTAAAATAAATATATTCTATAATTACTTCTACACAATGTATCTAACAACGCTGGTTATAATCTTTCTCTATGTGTCTAACTCTAAATCGGTAAGCACAAGAAGTATACTAAAAAATCAAGTATTTATAATAGAAAAGACTGAGACTTTGAATTATTACTTCACGAACTCGCTTAATGTAATTGAAAGTATTCATTCCTGACTACCACAATGATATGTCTTAGAGCAATTCTTGCAAGACTTTATCTTGCAAGAATAGGGCCATACCACGTTTAACCGTGTTTCAAAAAATAAAAAAAGAAACCAGATCATTACTAAAGTTACTCAACACAAAAAGACTAATACCACTGGAGGGAAGAGATTTTCTAGGATTTTGGGATTTTGTTTGATGGATGCTCAAAGATATGGTGTCGAGTGTGTG